TCCCTAATCCCTGAACCCCTGAACCCCTGAACCCCTGAACCCCTGAACCCTAAACCCTAAACCCTAAACCCTAAACCCTAAACCCTAAACCCTAAACCCTAACCCCTAAACCGTAAACCCTAACCCTTAACCCTTAACCCCTAAACCCTAAACCCTGAACCCGAAACCCGAAACCCGAAACCCCAAACCCGAAACCCGAAACCCTAAACCCCAAACCCCTCAACCCAAAACCCCCAAACCCCAAATTGCCAAACCCTCAACTCTAAACCCTCTGGGGCGGCGGCTCCGTCGTGAAAGGGTGCCTTCTCCACAACTTGCCTGTAGGCTCACCTTAGGCTTTTGTGTGGGTTTTAGGGGAGGCCAACCCGAATCTGCGACAATAGGTTAAAAAGCCAGACAACCGCCGCACGAGTCCGAAAAAAGGTGACAGCCGTCAGAGACGAATCATCCAAACATCTGAAGCAAGACCCACCTGGAGATCCCGAAACCTGAAGCCATGGACTGTGCCAGTGCAGAAATCAGGAGCTCAGCGAGGAGCATTAGCAAAATCATCCTAAACGAGCTTTGCCAAAAGAGCCCTCACGCGCTTAGACTTCCAATGTGGTAAATCGGCCTACTTTCTCAGAATGAGAATGGCTCAGTATTTATTGTACCCTCGCACTTTCGGTGGTACTGTAGCGGCAGTAATCGCCTTTGTTTTGCAACGAAGACTGATATCAGGAGAGGATGGAAGTGCTGCTGGGTCGTGCGATTGGTGACGCCCTCCTGCACACACGGCTCTTAGGTTGGTGAATGTCATGATGGCTATTTATCACGAAGCTGCATTGTGGTGAAAAGATGACGTGACCTGATGGTGTTGACGCTGATGGTGCTACGATTGCGACCATGATGATGACGATGATGAGACGACATCGTTGATGGCTGCGAGCATGGTGATCCAGCTGGTCATACGTGTGGCGACGTGACGGGGGCTGGCGGACAAAGTTACTGTTACCGAGATCCTAGTGATGACATGCGGTCGCGTTAAAGCGAGCAGAAAAGACGACAAACACACGCGTGAGAGCAATCCTAGTTGACGTCAGCACCGTTCTCGCATGTCGGCATGCGCACGCATGTGTGCCTGTGTGTGTGTGTGTGTNNTGTGTGTGTGGGGGGGGGGGGGTGCATGTGCAGAGTTCGGCTGTGTGCATGCAAGTATGCATGCATGAACCACTTTTCCATCCATCTAACCTGCATTGCTCCTCCTGCTAATTGGGCCGACAAGGGTGCATCGGCCTGAACTTTTGTGAGCTCTATTTATCACGGATCATCAGTCTAGATACATCTTAAATGGCTCCAGGCAAGCTAACCAATGCGCATCGGGTTCCTAACCTTACCGCACTTTTTCCAGGAGTTTTGTGTGGTTGCAGTCAGTATGCATGCTCAGCTTAGTTCAGTTGCACGTCTGAAGTTCGTGAGACGGAAGAGAGAGTGCAGGGAAAATGTGAACTCTCTAAGGTCAGGCCCTGAACACGTCGACGACATTGAACTTCAGGGAAGACAATGGCACGGAAGACGGACTAGTCAGGTATCCAGATGACTGTTGAAGTCTCTGTGTTCAAAACCCTTACAGGTTTAAGCTTAAAGCCCATCGACTCCGAGTCCAGTGACAACACAAGAGGGCCCACATAGAGATCGATGAATGGCGGCCAGGCTGCAACGGTAACTAACCTCAGGTTTCGGGATTAAGGTTTTCGGGTATAAAGTTGACGTGCTCAGGCCTGGGTTTAGGGTCATGGGCCTGATGAGCAGAACAAGTGCTGGTAGACGCTCTACAGGAAGCATCTTTTCTGGAGTGATCACGGGATGCCACGCCTTTAGCTGGTGCTTGGAGGCCTCATGTGGCAGACCTGCCAATGTTCTCGGTGTCGGATTGCAGTTTGCATTTTACCGCTCGTCAATGCATCCCTTGAAGCATTCTCGCATATCTTTTCATCAGAATCAGCCTAAACCCTAAACCGTGTAAGGTTTAGAACCGGACCATTGTGCTGAGTTGGCATCCTGTAGTTGTCAAAACCAGCAAAGTGCCCAGACGATCGCAGACGGCCGACCAAGGCAAGCTTCTTGCTTGTCGTGGCTACTGGCAGTTACTCCGTTAGGCACGGGGAGGGGGGGGGGGCGGCACCTAACCCCCAAACCCTAAACACCAAATCCAATCCCTCTCACACCTTAAGTTTTGAACCCTGGTATCACCCAAGGGCACTGCCTCGACGCCGCCCTTCTCATCGGACTTCCACCATCTTGGGTCCTGCTACGCAAATGAGGGTTCGGCAGGTCTTGCACCCTGAAAGTTTAAGGTTCAGGGTTTAGGGTTCCCTCAGACAGCTAAAGCCCAAGCCTGAGGACCTCGAAGCTCAACTACGGTGGCGCTGGGCTTTCTCAACCTCTCTAGGAGGCAATTGAGAAGCTTTTTTCTGTTTTCATTTTGGGTTTGGGGGCTTAGGGTTTACAGTGTAGGGTTGCTTATAAGCTTCTTTTCCGTCCCCAACAGCTTCATTCCAAGACCTGTGGACACTTGTGGGCCACATCCCTGCAGGAGCCGAACCTCTGAGTCAGAGTCGGAAGCTGCTGCGAAACGGGGAGAGGCAGATCTCTACGCCTGCCCCGAAAGTCCTAAGTACTCTCCTTCCCCTGGCAAGTGTTCCATATAGGCTAGTTGTTTGAATTCTTCTTGGCTTCCTGGCCGTGCTTCGCACCCTGCCAGACCAGGGTGACGGTGCGCCAAACAGTGCAAGCTCCCATGGTGCACATGATCAGCTGAACCGAGGCGTAGAGGTTCCGGCCACCGAAATCCAGGATAAAGCGGGTGAAGATGGGGGCCAGAAACCTGCTGATCTGGACCCCAGCAATGCTCCTCAGACAGACTTCTGATTTACTCCTAGGCGCGCAGGGCTCTGGGTATTGGCTCCCTCAAACCTGGAAACATTGGGGAACAAAAACGTGTGTCTTACCATACATACGAATAAGAAGGGTCAGAATGATAAGTTCACAACTGTATAAGAGATTCTGCACCCGGTAGGTCTGGATGTCGAAGCTCGTGCCCTTCATGGCCGCGCGGGTAGCCCAGCCCTGGGCGATGCCCATGGAGACGCCCGAGAAGGCGTAGACCAAGGAGTCAGCTATAAGCAGGAACCCACCCCCCGAGGCCCCATAAAACTGCCAATCAAAGAGCAGGAAGACGCCAGAGAGGGAGACTAATGTGGAGCCCAGGAAGATCCAAGACTCTCTGATCCACTTCCTGCTGACCGCAACGGTGCAGAGGACGGTGGTGGCCAGAGTAGCCGCGCCGATCGACATGAACGAAGCCCCGCATAACTCCGTCGACCACCCATATTGCACTTCCAAGAGCATCATTGTGGAGACCTCGATGGCAGCGACGGTGAAGGGCCGCTCATAGCTGTAGATGATGATGTCCCTCACAATCTCCTGTCGCGACTCTGGCTGGAGGTCCTGTGCTTTTCCGCGGGCCAATGCCGAAGTACAGCAAAGAACCCCAAAGCTACTTTTTGCTTTCGTTGGTTCCGATGCGATTAACCCATAATAAGGCTTTTGGGTTCTTAGGGTGCAGGGGCTACCAGCTGAAATTAGCCAGCAAGCTTCGAGAGCAGGTCTACTTGAGACTTCTGGGCCGTTCTGGGGTGTCTTGAGATGTCAAAATGTGTGCCTCTGGGCTCAGCTCCACGTCTTGATCCTCAGTCGCAGCTTTTCCATCCTCCTCCAGAGGAGAAACCACCGTCGGCAAACAAAGGGACGCGGTGGTCAGCACCTTGGCCAAAAGAGAGCCCAGAAAAAAAGAGACTCTTTTTTTATGCTGAATTGACGTGGGTTGAAGGAAGCCAAAAACCTATAAACTCCCCAAACAGGGGAATAAGTGCCCATTCTGGGTAGGCACCAAAGCTTGAAACATCGCGAGCCCAACAAAGGACCAGCCCATCATACTGATCGGAGAAATGTCGCGCCCCCTCCGCACTGCGAAGCTGAGGGCTGCAAAGCACACCGGGCCTACGATAAAGCCGGAATTCCGACACGCGACGGTGATCATGCTCCAGAGCGTCTTATGGCTGTTGGGCGTGACGATATTCCACATGGTTTGCAGGCCTACGACCGGAAGGATCTGAAAGAATTGGTTTGCTCCGTTTACGAGGAGGAAGCACCAGAAGCATGTTTTCCTGGTCGTATCGTTCCAGTGGGATGCCGCTTGCATCAAGAATGCCAGGATCAAGTTGCCAGCAAAGGCTAAACCCTGGCAGCCGAGGTACAAATATCGGGCGAATGCCTGGTCCCAGTTCACTTCGCTGGTGAGGCGTTTCCCCAGCATCGAGCCAAGCAGTGCGAACACTGTGGGCGCACTGAGGAAAACTCCGCTGGCAGTAGCGGACTGTCCCATAGCCAGAGCGTAATCCAGAGACACCGGCACAAGCATTGAAAGGTTCACCATCATGAGGAGCCAATATATCGCAAATGTGCATTGCAACGGTATGCTGTGGGGCTTCTCGTGGTTTGCCAGCAGCGGCTTTGCCCCAGCAGCCACTGAGGCTTCGTGTGATGCAAGGAGCAGGATGAAAATGACTATCGACCAGATCACGCCAGGGCCGATGGGGACCGTCACGGCCGAGAAGCCTTGTGCATAGAGTTCGTCCGTCAGTGGCCCCGCCTGCTTGGACTCGGACTCTGTCGCAAGCCTGGAGCCCAGAGTGTAAGCTTCCTGAAGCCAACTGGTACTGCCACAATCAGCATCATCCACACAGGCCTCGGGCGTTCCATGGGCGAGAAGGCCCAGGAACAGCCCGGGGAGCAAGCGAAGCAACTGCCCCATCATGAAGACTTGTTCGGTTTATTCTTTCAGGGGGCAGATGGACTTCATACCCCCTGACTTGAGATCAAATCCAGAAAGCATCAAAGCATCACCGCACAAGGAGCCAAGTGGAGACTAAACACTCGGAGGATCGCCTGCTCCATGGGAGGTTTGGGATTCTGGGCAACCCAAGCATGAACCTGAAAGTAGAAGCTCAAACGGATCCTTACATATGATCCTTAAGCCGCACACCGAAGCCACAGCAAAAGCTCGTGGCCGCCATGGCTTAAGGGTTAAAGGAAAATTCTTAGGCTTGGGGACAAGTTTAGGATGTCCCCTCCCGCATCTCCCGCCTACATCGCCAGAATTGGGCGAAGAGGCCGAGGGTTGCTGCCCAGCGGCCGCCTTCGGCCTGTGGTCCAGGAACTTTGGACTTTTTCCGAATGCTCAGGGCGTGTTGCATAGGGCCATAGGGCTTCCGAAGCTTGGGGTTTGAGTTGCGATTTCTGGGCTTCCGGAGGCTTTTATAAGGTTGCGAGTTGAGGGTTCTCAAATTCAAGGCGGCCTTTTTTTATCCTTGATCCTTCTCTAGAGTCCCGGGGAAAAATAGTCCAAAACAGGATCTTCTCAGCACCAGCGAGAGAAGGTAGAAAATGTCCCAAGGGCATACCTCGAAGTCTGGCGCCCGGACGTTTAGGCTTTGGGAGTGGCAGCTTGGAGCTTGGAGCAGCCATGGAAAACCATTACAGTCGACACTTCCTGAACCCCATGAAGGCTACAGCCTTCAAGCAATGTGGCTTTGCAACTATGGCTTCAGCTCTCTGCGCCGTCTCCTGTGGGAGCGACTCCCAGGGGGTCCCATGGACAGCAGTTTCAGGGCTGAAGAGCTTTGGAACGATGGGGCCTAAGCTCCCTCAACTGTCATTAAGTTCCTGGGTTCGCAGCAATGCGCGCCATAGAGTTTAGGGTATTGTTCCTAGACCCAAGAGTACGTAACCGAGTAATAATATGGGTAACCTTTTTGGTTTAAAGGGGCTTATAAGGGAGCCCAAAACCGGAAAAAAGGGAATATACAAGGGCCTACTCTGGGTCCTAGGTTTAGAGTTCAGGGTTTAGGGCTCAAGTCCGAAACCCAACCAAGAGCCCCGCTGTAACGGTTTCGGGTAAAGTTTGCCTTGGCAGGAGTAGGTTTGGGGAGGGTTTTGGGCTTCTAGAGCTTTGGTCGAGCTCTGGGCTTGGTAGGTTTGCCTAAGGCTGTGAATTTCGGTCATCGTCGCCATCGATGGTCGATGCCGCGAAAGGCAACCCCGAATTTCCGGGAACAACGCCCCCTGTGGAGGGTTCAGCACCAATCCATGTCTTGGATCCGCCAGTCAAGGCCTTGTTCTCCAGTTGATTTTGGCTTCCCGGATCGGGCCCCAATTAGTTTGAACAAGTTGCTGGTTTCTGTATTTGCTGATGTGACACTGGCCAGGAAGGCATCCGGATAACTGAAAATTGCTCGAATCCCGACTGTAGACCCTGAAAGCTGTCGGCCAGGTATCAGATCAGATCTGAGGGCCTGGCCCAGAAGTCTCAAGAGATGGGCAGCGGTTGAGCGGTGCAATTGCTGCGGAAAGTCATGAGCCCTGCACTAGCCGCTAGCCGCTAGCCCCGCCCGCTCACAGGCTTGGCAACCTGCGCTTCATCCGAAATGTTGCCACCCGTTTAGGTCAATGGTCGGGCCATTCCTTCTAGTCTTGTCGGATCTTGGATGCAGCACAGCAAATCATCACGGTGAAATCGGAGGCAAATCTGAGTTGCCCTGGTGTCACCGTCAGGGAACAACCTCCGAATCATGCACACATTCACGCCATAATGCAAACTGGACCCTGCAGCCGTAGAATCCTAAGTCAAAAACTGCTTGTCTGACTAACTAACGGCTCTATCGGTACATGCAGCCCTGATGTGTAGGGGTGACGGAATTCACACGCACAAGTCTGCGCGGCTTGAGCGATTGCGATTTTTGACAGATCGGGGCCAGCAGTTGAATGCTACGCAGGTCTCCGTGGCTCTGTCAATTCAGTGAGACTGCTTCCAACCAATCATGCTTCGACAAGACGAGTCTCATGGTCTGGTATGAACCAGCTGTACGGTTTTGGAACAGCTCGAACGTTTGACGCTTTTTAAAGGAGGAACCCAAAAGGGCCGCAATCTTGCTGTTGCGAATATCTGCACGGGTGGCAGAGCTAATAAAGGAAACCTCAGAAGTCTGCATCCCAACCTGGTGCAGGATCCTGAGAATCATCGGTGTGGCTGTTCAACATTCATCAGCAAAGACGAACCGTACCACTTGGGAGATGCATCTCTGCTTCCCAATCCTCCCAGGGGTCTTCGGACATTGCACAGCGTACCTGCGTGTGGTATGCTGCCAACTAATTTAACGCTACGCCGCCCGCCTCAGCTTCCCGGAGACACAACGCTGATTGCTGGAAAAAGAGGAGGAAGCGGAGGGGTGAGGGGAGGGGAGGGGGAGGAGTAGGGCGAGGGTGACCCCAAATCCCCCTCCAGAGGGAGGATACGGGATACAGTATCGGTCCACAAGACGTAATGACTTGACCTTTGCGCACGGAGTGCAGCACGCTTGTTTTGATAAACGCGCCCTATAGAGCTAGTAGTCTAGAACCATGTGCGCCAATACGGTCAACGAGAATACATATGAGTGGCCGTTGCTGAAAATACATGTGACTGCATGGTTACAGGTTAGATAAACAAAGAGACACAAGTTTTCTTTTATCGTAAACGCGGCTTTACTCATACGTACTTTCCATGAAAGTCGACATTGACAGTTGCATCTGTAGCATCGCAAGCCGGGTCTAATCCTGTTGGACTTGTCTTGGCTGTTGGAGCTTGTTCGGAGGAGGACTTGGCCTTTGCCTTCGCCTAGTGGCGATTTTTGTCATCTGGTGGCCATGAGCCCTCAGATTCGTCCCCACTGTCAGGGTTGTGAGCGTTTCTGTCCCAGTATGCGTGAGTGTCCGGATTCGTTCTCGGATCAATCTCACATTCACCTGTTCGTCGGTCTTCTGGTTCTTGTGAGGAACTGGAAACATCATCGAACAACTGTGAAACAAGATCCTGTTGCTCGGTCAGACTTCGTTGTTCCTGCTTGCCTTGTTGCTTCATCGTTCACTGCTGTAACGAGACCGAGTAGCTCGGTGTATGATCGCAGTGGGATAAGGACGTTCGCGTCATCACGAACGTGGAATTATTCCATGGTCAGAAGAGTCCTAAGCCCTAAGCCTTTCTATGGCTGTCGGAGATTCCGGGTACAATCTTACCCCATTGTGTTCCTCAAACTCTTCAGCTCGTGCGTCGGCGCATTCTTGACCTGTGATGCTTAGTGGGGGGGGCCAAAAAAGGAAATCCTTTTTTTTGTTTTGCAGGGTTGCTGCTGGGTCCAACAAAAACAAGGGATGCCAGATTCGAGCACTTGTTTTCCCGCAAACGCCGAAATCGTGCATCAGGCTGTTGCTCCTGCCAGGGCCCAAGTTCGCGGCTAAGTTGGCACTCAAGAGATGACAGACAAAGAGACGGCCAAAGCTACTGTGCCTGCAGTCCTGAGAGGCCAAGTCGGAGCGACGCCTTGCAGGCAAACACAGGAATGAAGCCAGGACTGCGATGGTCAAACTGTGACTGCAAAGAGATGCCTAGCAGCTTTTTGTCTCAAGAGCCAAAGCCGATGCTCGGGATGATGTGGCCACAAAATGGCTCTGATGGCTGCCAAAATGGTAATGGATTTGTCTTGTTCTAAGCAATTGGAGCCTGATAGAACTTTATCGCCGAATGCAGCCATCTGAGGCTACCGGCCATCAGGTCCCTGCTGCGGCTGTACCTCCCTCGGATTATTCCTATGGCTACCCGGAGAAGCTCAGGCCTACATTCTCAGACCGTCCAGGATACAGAAGGCCGAGAAGCACCGTTGAGGAACTACTTCTGAGTTTTCTGTCGCTTTGCGACGCAGTCCTCACAGGAGCAGTTGGAGCAGTACTCCTTCCTCTTCTTGTCAGCAGGAGAGGCCATCTCCCGCAACTCGCCCCTCAACTTTGTCGTCGCCACCTTCTTGCGGATGTCCCGAGAGCCCATCGCCGTCGGGAGGGCCGGCAGGATGTTCAGATCAGTGGTGTAGGACGGAAAGGCCAAGCCTTTTTTAAATACAAACCACAAATCTATCCAACGACCCATCGGAATTAGCTTTCCTGGCACAGATGCTAGTGGGCAGAAAGAATTTCACAGTGAATTGGACAAGCTTCGGGTGAGGGCCGTGTTGATGCGGCCGTCACGCATGAAGTTCTCGAGCTTCTTCAAGTCCTCGGAGAGACAGACCGAGGCGAGGAGGATGTAGTTGTGCCAAGCATTGGATGGCTGGTCCTTCGAACTCGCCAAGGGAGAGGCCAAACAGGATCCGGCCCGAGGATCCAGCTTGATCACGGAGTGGTATGTCTCCTCCTTGAGGACCTTGCTGCCCGGCAAGATGCTCTGCATGTCGCTCCAATGGACACAACCTGTGCATTTCAACAGCAGTTATGATAACGGTATGTGCAAACATGTAATAAAACCTGTAGAGCAGGGAGACATACTTGCAAATAAACAGACACGCGAGTGTATATAGACAGCGATATTCTGCACAGAGACACATCTGAATACAATGTTTTTGTCGCTATCTCTTCTTCTCTTTGTCTCTCTGTCTCTCTCTCTTTCTCTTTCGCTGTCTCTCCCTCCCTCTCTTTCTGTTAGTAGACGATTTTTGCGCTCGGAGCTATGCTCCAGAAATCCCAGCCTGCAGGGGTCGTGTTTTTTCCACCGGACCACAGATAGCTAGCACAGTTGGCCTTCACAGCAGGCACTGCGAGGGCCTTGATTCCACGGGCTGGGTCACACTTGAGGATGACCCGGTTGAAGTAACCTCGGTCGCACGGTGTGGCTTGGTAGTATGATATGGACCTTGAGTAGAGTGCCACACAGTTTACAGGCCAGACGTCAGGCTTCCGGCAGATATTCTAGCTTGATACATATGTGAAATGAATCTAGTTGGAACTATCGCATTTCCATCGCAGCAGGACATCACAGGATGACGGTTTAGGGTTTAGGGTTTAGGGTTTAGGTCCAAATATAGTACCACCCACAACCGGCCAGCGAAAGGTTTGACATCTTGCTCGATCTTGCTTGTGTGTATGTTTCTTTCTATCCCCCGGTGGCCTCCTGGACACTTTTTGGCCACGTGCTTGGCCATGAAGGTAGCGACGAGCTTCGTGAAGTTGGGACAGCTCGTCGAAAAGGGAGAGAGCACGGCAGCTGCATCATTGTCACTGTTTTTGGCGGGCTTCGTGAGGCCAAGCACCAGCTCGGGGCCCCGCTTGCCCAGCAGCTGTCCTTAGTCAAGACTGAGGGACTTAGATGCAAAAGACAGCTACCCGCGACTTGAGTCATTGAAGAATGCAATCCGAGAGGCCGATGGCCTTGTCCATGATCTCACTCGTCACCCTCTTCTGCAACCAGCCAGCCACCACTTCATCTGGAAGGTCTTTGATCGAGCCGCCTTCCGGCTTTACCTGAGGCACTCGCTGGACCGGGGCTTTCGGCGGTGGTGGCGCCGGACCCGGAGCTGTTGCCTTCCCAGAAAGACCCGGGGCTTTTGCACCTGGTGCCATGGCCGAAAAGACCTGCAAGGAGTGAAAGATGTATGGAGGACACTCGGGCCGATCTTGCTGCCTGCAATCCGAAGCAAGCTTTGTCACAGTCCAAGATGACAATGAAAGTCTACAGAATGCAATGCATTGCTGCACAGAGTTTATGTTGTGATCAGTTCGTGAGGACGAGCAAGTTGCCATCTCACCTGCTTTTTGTCCGCACCTCGCAGTCTTCACCACGTGAGTGCTTGGAGCCCCGTTCTCACAGCCATTGCGTCGTGTGGGCAACGAAAAAGGATAAAGATCTCTTATGTACAACCGTCTTTTTGACATCACCATCTGCTGTACGCTTTCGAGAGGCCTGCGCGTCCTCTTCGTTGCAAAGGTGGAGGGCCCCTTTTCTTGTCCTGAGTGGGAGCATTGTGCGGGAATGAAATCCCAGCCCGTGCCCCCCCCACTGAGTTTCCCTTATCACACAGCACTTATATTAACCTTTAGTGTATGCGATTCCCTTGCAGGCCGAGAATCAAGTCCTCGGCAGATTTCCGAACTGTCCATTTGGAACGGCCCGCCGGATGACACTCCACTTGTGCGACGAGTGTCAGGAGAGGCTTCGTCTCAGAGAGACTGGAATCAAAGAAGAGCTCGTTCTCCAGCTGAATTCCCCGCTGAAGTTTCAAGCAGGGCTGCACTAGCTTGGAGTTTGATGTGCAATGAGAGAGCCACGACTCGCTCGCAATGTATCCTCCAAGAATCCGGCTTGCAAGTGTGCTGAGTGGCGGTGTGCTCTGGTGTCCGTCGAGCCAGACAAGGTCCAGTGAGGCCTCTTCGCACGTTGCCAGCCAGATGACCCATTTGGCTTCCAGGCATCGCTTGGCCAGTTTGGCCAACTTGTCCTCTTGGAATTTCAACATGGGAAGCTCTGCAAGAGAGTCCAGCTTCTTGCG